ACTTTATTTGTAGAGTGCCATTGTCTTTTAGTTAAAATTTCAATTTTATCCCTTATGGAGATGACAAAAATATCATTTGTTTTGTGGTAATATTTACAAAATTGTCTCACAAAAGTAGTGTTTTTTTAAAAATAGACTACAAAAGTAATAAATCTACTCTTCACAACTCTATCCATTTTGACGATTGTAATTTGAAGGGTATATATATATATATAGGAAGACACGTTTCAAATTTCAAATCATTCTGATTTAGTAAAAAAAAAAATGAAAAATAAAACACTATCGGACATGAACAGTGAGTTCGCCTACCCTCATCACTGTTCAAAGTTCATCGCATGATCACGATTGTTCAATAATGTTTCATTTATTCTTTTTTTTTTTCTTCTACAAATCAGAATGATTTGAAATTTGGAGTATGTATACATCTCGGTGAGGCGTACCTAATAAAAATATGAAAAAAATAATTCACAGATTATAAATTGATCAAAATACCCTCATAAATATTTGAGGGTATTTTGGTTTTATTTTTTATTTTACGAATTATTTTTTTGATATTTTTATTATGTACGCATCAGTAAGATGTACGCACGCTCCAAATTTCAAGTAATTTGGATTTGTAAAAATAAAAATGAAATTTGAAACACTACCAAACAATTGTGATTATGCGATGAAGTTTAAATATTGATTCGCCTATAGGCGTAGGAAAGAGTTTTTCGTATATATATATATATATATATATTTTGGAGTAATGATCTTATAGGATCCTCTTTTACCCATGTGTGCAGGATCTCAAAAGATCACCATTAAAATTGGTACGGATCTCTAAAAAAGTTATCACATGGGTGTAGGACCTGATTTTTCTATAGATTCGTATCAAATTTAATGGTGATCTTTTGAGGTCCTACACAAATGGGTGGGGGAAGGTCCTACAAGATCATCTCTCTCACTCTCTTTCTATATATATATTATTCACATTATTTATAAATATATAAATATCATTGAAGTTCTTATATTCAACTATTAAATACTTCGTATAAATATGCCTATGAATATGTGTTCAAAGACCTTCTTAATATAGAAGCTTAGAGAGAGGAAAAGTAGGGCCAAAAGAGACAAAAAAAGCCAAACTAGTTATTATGGGAGAGAGAGAAAGAGGCAAGTTTATGTATTGTAAAGTGGGTAATTTTGATAATGCCAAAAGATTGATCAAATTGATGAGAGATTGGGCGTGCCCCAGATGAATGGGCTTACATTGAACTTATCTCTGGCTTTAGCAATTTTGTATGCTGAAGTAATGGATGAAATTTTGGGAAATGGCTTGAGCCCAAACCAAATTACATACACTGCTTTGATTGATGGCCATTGCAAGTCTGGGAAACTCGAAATTGCTCCATCTTTGATTGAGAGAATGGAAAAATGTGGTTGCATACCCAAGTTGCAGACATATAATACCGTATTTAATGGTTTTTGTAAGGATATCAGTGTATCTGTAATAGAGAAGTTAGTTTCAATAAGCTGGTTGAAAAGGGGGTGAAACTGAATGTTATTAGTTACACCACATTGATCAACCATGCACATTTCTCCCCTTCTATAGTTTGTTCGATCTTTCTCCATCAAATAACGTTTCACTAATTTTTAATCCCTATTGTTAACAAAATATATAATAATAGATAGGAGCATGACTCTCCATGAACCTAAAAACTATCAATGGAAACATCCAACAATAACAATTAAAAAGATTTTAAAAAATCAACCAATATTCCAATAATCTATGAAAAGTGCTTGGCGAATAATGTGAAGCAAAAACAAATTTAAACACAATCACTACTTCTACCTATGACATTGAGCAGAAAAGAAGAAGAACAAAAACTCACCTCCAAAATGAAGAACACCATGATAGCGCTTAGAGGCTATAAGCGAATCTAATAACCTTTCACTAATTTTTAATCCTTATTATTAACAAAATATATAATAATAGATAGGAGCATGACTCTCCATGAACCTAAAACCTATCAATGGAAACACCCAACAATAACAATTAGAAGATTAAAAAAAATCAACCACTATTCTAATAATCTATAAAAGTGCTTGGCGAAAAGAAGAAGAAAAGATACTCGCCTCGAATATGAAGAAGCTCGCCTTGAATATGAAGAAGAACACAACGATAGCTTAGAGGCTATAAGCGAATATGTGCTATATAGGTGAGACTTGAGAAGGAGATGAGTTTATTGAGATACGATTTAAAGAGAAACCTTATCTTTATGTTTCTATTTATCTATTTTAGGAACCAGTTTTAGGTAGAGAATGGATTGTGGCATTGGGATGAGGGGGAGAGACAGAGATTGGATTTAGGAACTGTGGGAAGAGGAAGAGAGAAAGAGAATGGATATATCCGTTGGGAAGAGAGAGAGAATGAAGAGAGATGGGACAGTTATAGAAAAAAAAAGACACATGACACAAAAATAGCGACGGTATTTCTTTGTTTAATATAAAATAGATCCTTATTTTACCCATTCTCTTTTATTTTTTTATGACTTTTTTTAACACTTATTTTTTTTTTGTGATTATTTTCCTTTTTCTTTGATTGGGCACTCACACTCCCAGAAGGACCCTCAAGAGACTGGGACAAAGCTTGGTCCAGCTTCAAGAAGCAAGGGAAGAAGACATTCTTCTCTCAATTCAACCCCGAAAAGTATGTGAGCAGAAATCCAAGTCGTTCAGAGTATCCACTTTTGGAGGAGGTGGACCCCATTAAGAGAAGTGAGAGAGCAAATTTGAGGGCGTGGACCAGCACTACCTTCACTCTGGGAGGAGCCGTAGTCTTGGTTTCTGTGCTCCTCCTCTATACCATTCTGGCTCCACTCAACTAGTCACTCACTCTCTTTAATTTCTATTTACGACTAAGAACAAATGTCGGAGATTTAAATGGATGTGAATATTGATGGAGCTACAAGATGGAGAGGTGAATCTCCTCATTCTCTATATTATAAAAAAAAAAGGAAAAAAAGACGAACCCTGTAATATCCTTGTTGTTCAAAGAGTCTCCATATTGTAATCCCTTTATTGTAATTCCTTTGACATGCGTTCTCCATATTGTAATCCCTTTATTGTAATTCCTTTGACATGCGTTCTCCATATTGTAGTCCCTTTGACATACATACATATTCATTAATGGTGGATTGAGGATATGAATTTCTACAAATCCATTTGACAAACACGGATATGGGAAAAACTAATTTAGAGCCTTAAAAAATGTCCATCTTGCAACAATTTTTTTAAATCGTTAATTACTTTTTTTTATTATCCATTGAATCTATACCACTTTTGGAGCCTCCGACTCAACATTTGGGGCTTGAAATGGGATTTTCAGGTGATCGAAAGGGCTTTGGGATTGGAAATTTACATGTTGTATAACTAGAGTTTTGGAAGAGAGATATAATTACATATGAAATTTTGGGCTGTAGTTGCATGCAAATGGCAGCAATGCCAAAAATATTTCGCTCCAAATTCAGGTCTAAAATCTAAGAAATTATATATTATTAGACTATTTATCACTATTAAAGGGAGATCACAATCATTGCTAACCATTAGATGTCAAATTGAATGGTTTGAGGTTGTTTCAAAATTCAAGTATTATCTCTTTGAGAAAGTGCTTAGAGGTGGTGCCGCAACATGTCATCTAAATTTTCATTTTTAAATTTTTATATTTCTAAATTATCACTAATATACCTATATTTTAAGGAAATTGGAAAAAAACCTCCAACTTTTCAAAACCTCGTCTACACCTTTTTTCACAAATTTTAGCTTTTTTTTTGATGAAACTACCCTTTATGGTAGTCTTTGTACCGTAAAAAACATTACGGTATTAAGAGTACCGTAATGAGCATACGATATTAAGAGTACGTAATGAGCATTACAGTATTGTTAGTACCGAAATGCTCTTTAAATGCTTTACGGTCATAAGAAGACCGTAATGGAGTTGAATATCATCACAGTACTAAAAGCACCGTAATACTCTTTTTGGTGTGGAAATATCCCGTGACATCGTTGCTTGAAAGAAGTGCCTATGCGAGGGGTGTCTTCTTGGAGGCATCGAAGAGAGAGTAGAGATGGGTATTTTTGCACCAACAATTCTACATTTTCTCTAATAAACACTGCACAATTCTACCTTTTCTCTTCAGATTCCTAGAATCATTGCCCACTCGAGCACTGATATGGAGAATCAGTTGCAAACCATTGTAGAAACATCAACCAACAAAATAGGATTTCAGATGAAGCATTATAGGACAATTCAAGAGGGTAAAAATCAAATTCAACCAGCTCACCGCATCCATGAGAGTTTTGACGAGAGCGAGGCTATTGATGATTACATTGCCCTTCTCCCTTGTTACCTTAGACAGATAACCAAGAGCTCTCGGCCCAATGCATCTGGGGAAGACTTGCAAATACTCCTCATAATTGAGGGTCTCACTCCTACCTTCAAAGCTTGGAATCCACAAAGGTTCAGAAGCTTGGGCCATTTTCACCAACTCATCCATTGATGTCAATGCGAGCTCTGCAAGCATCGATTTCTCGGGATTCCCTGCTCTCCCCATCACATTTAGCTGCGGACCAGTGATCAAATCAGCACCTTGGGGCAACGAAGCAGCAGTTGTTTAATGGAAAAAAGGTAGAATTGTTGGTACAAAAGGATCCATCCCTACTCTCTCTCTACAATGCCTCCATGAAGACACCCCTCGTATGGATACTGCTTTCAAGCAGCGATGTCATGGAACATCTCTATACCAAAAAGAGCATAATGATATTCAACTCTATTACGATCTTTTTATGACCGTAAAGCATTTAAAGAGCATTACGGTACTAACAATACCGTAATGGTCATTACAGTACTCTTAATACCGTAATACTTTTTATAGTACAAAGACTATCGTAAAGAGTAGTTTCGTCTAAAAAAAAGCTAAAATTCATGAAAAAGGGTGTGGGCGAGGTTTTGGAAAATTGGGAGTTGTTTTCAAAATTCTTTAAAATATAGGTATATTAGCGATAATTTTCTTATTAAATAAATATATAATAATGAATATTGTTTGTCAAAAAAAAAGATATAATAATACATATTTGTGTACCTATTTTGAACAAAAGCAACATTTAGTCACGTTCGAACAAGCTCCTCGGTAAAATACCATGCGCAATGGCTAGGTCAAGACCGCAATATTGAAGAAGTTGAGGGGTAGAATTTAAAAGCAACTGTAGAGGCATGAAAGAATATTTATACTACATTTTTTTAGAAGAAAATATCTATACTTACTACATTATTAAATAAAAGTTAAGAGGTGACACGTGTCGTGAAAATAAAAAGCCACCTTATTTCTATAGAGGTTGTAGGGCACACTCTCACCTTTAAGATAAAAGGGAAAGTAGGTATCTTTTTGTAGTTTCTATTTAGAGAGAGATACATAGCATATCAATAACATCAATCATATCTAAACTTACGGTATTTTATATTTTCATATCTTAAGATAGAGAGAGAGATGGGAGATATATATGATAAGAGAATTAAGGAGTAGGAAGAGAAAATTAAATGAGAGAGAGGACAAAAAAATAAATGCATGAGTCCCCCATTTGGAGAGAGAGAGAATTTGAACTCCTAAAATAATGGAATGCGTTTGATAGAAATAAATTTAAATGTGGGACATATACATCGCAAGAAAATTGAATAGGGAGAGCAATTAAATGAGAGAGAGATAAGTGGATGAAAGAAAGAGAAACGTATTTCAAATCAAGTGCTTGTAAAATTGTCACTGACTATACTCAAAGTTCAAAAAAAAAAAATCTTAAACCTCATGACATACCCCAAACAATCCAATTTGACATGTAAAGGTTAGAAGTAATTGTGACCCCCTTGTACCAAAGATAAATGGTCTCATAATATACAATCTCAAAAAAGATGAGATACCCACAAAGTTTGATAAATGCGATAAACAACAAAGTAGTGGGGGGATCCTTTTTTTAATAGAAAATTTTTTTATAAGGTGTCAAACTTATACTATACAAGTAAGGTGCACCTCAAAACTCATCAGAAAATGTTGTTTTGTCATTAGAAAACCCTCCAATTGATCATCTCTACTTCGATATGTATGAATATGAAAAAAAATTGAATTTCAAGTATTAATAATAACACATCCTATAACATATTTTCTAGGCCGTCCATTATCAAGATATTTAAATGTTCTTAGATTTGCTAAATTTGAATTATTTTCAAAGCTTTCAATTTCATAAGGGATGAAAAATACAATTTTAAGGCGATTATCGGAGTTTTGGTACCTAAAATACATTTTACAACGAAATTTTTTGGTGCACTCAAACCTCAGCCTTTGTTAATTGAGGAGAGAAATTTTCTTATACAAACCTCAACCTTTGTTAATTAAGGACAGAAATATGTAAGTGACCATGAACATCGGGTCCTATTTTATTCATCAAAAAATTAAGGATTCGCCTACAATGTGACTCTTCTCTTTGATGTTGTCGTATGTAAATAAAGGCAGGCAAAGGATATCTTTGCACAAATGTTTGATGAAAAGATTTCAGACCTGTCTTGTCAAAAAATAAATAAATTATCAGACTTGAAATTTTGTCATTCTTAGCTGGCTAATTTTACATCCGACCACTTTAAGGTCGTTATTTTTTTTTCATAAAAAATAAATAGTCTCTTTGTGTGTACTTCATTTGAAAGAAGTGGTTAGAATGAAATTGTTATTTCTTACATTGAATAGTCACAATCACCTCAAGCAGTCAAATTAAAATCAAATATGTATAATTTGATATATTTATTCCAGAAACACTACATATACAAGATATTTTGTGAAACCCCAAAAAGTACATTTCCAAATCGCACTTCATATGTGTATGATAAAACTAACATCCCACAATTGAGCAAAGACTATCCAATTTTGGGAAGGTAAAATCTAAGAGTTGAAAAACACAATTTTTGTTTTTTTTAAATCAACTAGTGATTCTTAGGTGGATCCTGGCCATCACAATCGCCTAAGTAGCTCTACGGCCGAGGGAATAAGTGTACAATATGCTCCCACATGCGCACCCTTCTATGGCCCTCAAAGCTGGATAGAAAGGTGAGCAGGGAACTTCAAATGGGTAAACTGTTCACCAAGATGATGGACAGTTGTGACTGGTTTGTTTGTGTATATGCATGTGCAAATAAGAAGGATTAAGACTCTTACTGCAAAAATCTTATGATGAGACTATTTTTAAGTGATTTAATCCAGGAGATTTGCTAAGTTTGGGCTTGTTGAGAACCTCTAGAAAAGAGAAAAGAATTATTTTAGTTTCTATATAAGCTGATAGGTATCCATAAGCCTTCTCTAGCTTATTTTAATTTATTTTAGGGTGAGGTTTGTATAGAGCCGAGGTTCTAAACAACGAAATTAAAGCCCACCTTCAAATAGCATCGAGAAATGTGATTTCAATACTGGGGATCTTTGTGATAGTTTTAAAATATATTTTTATATTTAATTATAAAATTTAAATCTTAAAAAATAGTGCAGATCGAGCATATCTATGAAAACTTAAAAATCTTAAAAATTGAAGGCTCAAATTGCGTTACAAGATGCACTATTTTTAAAATTTGAAATCTTTTTTTTTTTTTTTCTTATGTCTATGCATCTTGATGTCAAGATGATCAATTTGAGAATATTTGGGCATCAAAACAACTTCTTCTAGTGAAATTTTTGTGGTGGGCTTTAATATGATTGTTTAGAGCCTCAGCTCTATATAAACTTTTTCCTTTATTTTATTTTATGAATTTATGAGTTATATTTTTCTTTGTCCACTTATGCACAAGTTGAAGAATCAATCGTATCTAAAATGGAGAAAAATATAAGAGAAATTTGGGGAATAAGAACACCTTTTGAAGAGACCACTGGCCAGATTTTTAAACAAAAATAGAGATATAAGCACATGATGTCTCTCACCCCTATCAAAAGAGCATTAATATCCTACCACTGAACCAGAATTGCCCTTCAACTAGGTCCCCCACAGTACTGAGTTGGATTAGCGATCCCGATTTGGCGAGGCTAGATAACTAAAAAATTGAAAACATAAAAATAAAAATAAAAATAAAAATTGGAGGGAAATCCCCAAGGGTATCCGTTTCCGGTTTGACCCACCAATTTTTAATCCCACGAGCCCCAACTCTATAAGAATTCAAAAGAAATGAAAACAACCCCCAGAAGGGTACACTGCAGCTAGCCACCCATGTAAGCTACAACATGACCCCACAAATCTTAGTGCCCCATACATGGGGTACAACAACACCCCACAAATTAAAACTTATCAGCAAGACTTTCTCCTAATCTTATTCCTCAAAACATATATGGGGGACAAGGACCACAGAAACAAACAATTAAAACTTATCAGCAAGACTTTCTCCTAATCTTATTCCTCAAAACATACGACAAAGAAAGAGTGTGTTTGATCACTTTTAAGCACATGTTTCACCCACTATAATCCCTTTGAAAATATTGATGTTTATGGACCACCATAAATCACATTCCTTGAAGACTTCAATACGAAGTCTACCACACACCAGCAACAGATAACGTGTAGATCTCTTCTGCAAAAATTTGCACATTTTCAAGCAAATGTTAGTCACAAGTCACAACTATCTCCCATTCATTCGAGATAACTTCTGATGCCAATATTAACTTTCATATTATCCCGATATAATCAATTTATCATGATAATTTAAGGCTTTCTTTAAATTTCCCGATCAATATAATATAAAAGCAAAAGTATCCATGTGAATTTGAGCGGAAGCATGTCTTTACCTAAAAATAGCTAATAAACTACCGTTGCAGGTCACAGGTACCACCAAGGACTCCATAATGACTATACAAGTGAAAGCTACCTGGATAGTGATTTTGGATATATTAATTTTGATATAAATTACAATTATTTCCAACTTTATCATTCAGAAAAGGAAAAAGTTTATATAAGGTTGCAACTTAAAGATACACCTAAAAAATCCATCCAAAAAGGTAGTTTTAATGTTGAAAAACCTTTTAATTGATCATCTCAACATCAACATGTACGAATATGAAAAAAAAAAAATTTGAGTCCCAGTGCATCTTCTAACACATTATCCACACCAACCATTTTAAAGTTTTTCATATATTTATAGATCTACTTGATTTTACCATTTTTGAAGTTTAAAATTTTATAATTAGATATGAAAATAGATTTTAAGATAATCTCAATAATTTTTTTCACAAAAATTACATGTTATGATAAAATTTGGAGGTGTATCTTAATTGGATTGTTTAAGGTTGCAACCTTATAGAAACCACACCCTATAGAAAATGGTCAACATATTCTTGTTTTTAATTATGCATAATTTGAATTCCCCAATAAAAATCCAACCATGATAAGATCTTGATAAAGACTCCCACCAATAACATTTTGATAACGATCAACTCTCACCAAGTAGAAAATTATGCTTTTAGAATTGTCTGAAATGTCCAAAGGGTGAGAAAATTCAAACTTGTTCTCATGTCAAATGTCACTGCAAGAACCCTTGACCACTTCTTTGGAACCCATCCTTGCGTTGCTAATAGAATTGAGGATAAGCGTAAATCATCAGATGAGGCATGTGGGTTTTTCCTAACCCTCAATGAATGCCAAGAAAGCAAGCACAGAAGAGAGCTATTTAGTGCCCCACAGGGGGGACAAGGTAACAATAAATAAAGGACCACCCTTTGACAAAGACCTCACTTTGCTACCTATTCCTTTAAATCTTTGAAAAAGAAAACGTGTTGAATCCCCTGTAAAACCCAAAAAGATTGCTTCCTCCACCATGTACTAATCAAGGGCACTTTATCTCTTTCTTCAGTAGTCCTTCAAAACATAGGGTCATTGATGGACCATTTTGAATCACATTTCCAAAGCTTTGACAGGGTCCATGGTGACACCAACTCCTAGCGTGAATGCCTTTTTGACCAAGGCAACCCTAGTGTGAAATCCTTCAAAGGTGTAAACAAGAAAAAAATAATCAGAGTAGATGGAAGTTTTATTTTTATATAGTTAATTTATACTTAAAAAAAGGTATATGCATCAAATAACATAAAGTGCGACGTAAAGAGAATCTGCAAATGTGTCATGGGAGTGGGAATCAATCCCCCCAAGAGAAGATCTGTCTCCCACCTTGTCTTTGACTATGCGAATCATGGAACCCTTCTAAACTCCAGCATCATGGATGCATATTTTCTCGAAAGATCCTCATTTTTTCACACACATACACCCTACCATTCAATAACCTGGCCTGATCCAAAAACTGTCTTCCTGTCATGAATATATTCATATCTCAAATTGATGAGCATCGTGTAAGACACATGGGATTTTCTAAATGAATTCTAGAGAGCAACATTGAAAGAATACTGGTAAATAAAAATATCTTTGTCACTGAGATCATACTATTGCAAATATGTTCATGGTTTCATGTACTTTCAATGACCTTGGGAATATGTTTGGGTTCCGATGCCAAAGTTATTTTATACCTGTTGTTCCATTTGGTCTCAACAACTACAAAACCAAGCATGTGTGTAGCTGTCATGGCTATTTGATAACAGAAAACTGGAAGTGTAGGAAGTGGAAGTTCTGAACTTCTAGAAGCTTCATATTTTGATGTTTGTGTTTGATAACTAGCTTGGAATTCTAGAAATTCTAGGAACCTGTGTTCGATTGAACTTGGGATTTTGGGAACCTGGGGATCTGCAAATTAGTCAGTTTTAATTGTTCATTGAAGTTTCATCACGAGAGAATGATTTTGTTTAATGAGAAAGATTTTAAAATAATTGGTCATCCACACTATATGCCTTAATATGTACGATTTAGATCACATAAAAAAGAAAATAATGTTGTTGTAGGTCACTACAAAATAGATGGTTGAGAGCATGTTTGATTATCTAAATTTATACATTGGATTCAGCTAAAATTTTAGGCATCCATCTTTCTCACCCACACGCACCTGTAAAAAGTACAAAGAAACTTTTCAAAAAAGTAAAATGGCCAAAATATAAAATAGAAATTAACCAACTACCGAACAAACAGTGAATCTATCAATGCAGATGGAGGTCCTGGTTCCAATGATGATGGTGATGGTGGCTGCAACGATAATGATGATGACGGTGATAGTTATGATGACAAGAAAGGTGTCATAGAACTTAAAATCACATGGACTGACAGAAAATGGAACTATTTTTTAACTGCAAATGAAGTGGAAACATAGATGGAAGAAATACTAGACCTATGAAAATTATAGATTGTTTTATACCATTGTTCATGCCTATGACCTATGACTTCTCAGTTAATGAAATGCTCCAAGATTGTGATTGCATTGAACACAATAAAACATATTTTCATTTCTTATTTAAGAGTTTAAATTATATTTAACTGATGCCTCAAAAATATTATATGTAACTCTAAGGGACTCTGCTCCCCGCTGAGAAAACCATACAAATCAGTCTAAAGATACATGGCAAAATGGCTCACTGAACTTTGCAAGAGAAAAAAAATTAACTTTTAAAAATGTAAAGGTAATGCAGATTCTCTCGCCAAAGAAGGAGCCCTCACTCTCATGACCGAGTAGTTGTTTGCAGCCTCACTCATCTTCCTCTACTGTAGGAGTTTCCTGCTCCATCCTACTAGCTTTCCTTATTTTGGGTCCCTGACGGGGAAACCCACTTTTTTTCGGATGTACATTGTCCCTTTATCTGGGGCCAAATATTGTAACAATTGTTACATATAAGTAATGCAATGGTAACATTCTCAAAAAAAAAAGGTAATGGATCCAATAAGAATAGAGAACTCAATAGTGAGAAGGAATATAATAAAGGAAGTGGGATGGTAGATTGAAGGGGATGTTCATGCAGAGGGTAGAAAAGGGAGATGCTGCATATACAATTTGAAATGGAGTAGTTCTGGAGAAATGCTAACCACATGGCTATCTATTTGAGATTTTCAAATAATAACTTTTCTTTGGTCGTCAAGGAATACAACCTCCTCAGTCTCCATTGAAGAAGAGAAAAAAGGTTGTTGAAGTTCTACATCACAAACCCCTAAAACCTCTTCTGTAAAGTATTCAAGCTCTTCAACTGGCAGCAAAACTTAAAACCACTGAGGAGGATGGGGCCATTCACCAAAATGATACTAAAAACATTGAAAACAAGTACTACATAGCAATCCAATCAAAGTAGTTGATGATATGAAAAAAAAGATTTGGCTTAAGTTTGTTGAGGTGGGTACAAGATAAACTCTATATACACTTCAAGATGTCAGAAGAGAAATTTCTCCATGAAACCCCCCAGCTAACCTATGGGAGAGTAAAAAGTAGAACCTAAGAAACAAATTGAAAAGAAAAGGACCTGCAATGGGAGACAATGAGAAGAGCGATGGAAGTGGAAAGCATGCCTATTTTGCATGTAAATTGGCAATAGGAGAATCAGTCAATGGTTGCAAATACATAACATTAAGATTACATATATAATGCAGCGTCACTTCTAGAAAACCATATTTGTGGTATCTGTATGACCCAAAAATTTTGGACACACACTCTCTTCATCTCAATAATCAATCTCAAAAAAAAAAGTTCGATCTGAACCCTAGATATGGTCAAAATGAGTCCCTTCCAAAAATAAATCTAGACCATTCATTTGGTGAATTTCAAGATCTTAGCCTTTATAAACTCAAAATCATTTTTTTCTTTTTTAACATTGTTCATCTAATGATAATAAAGCCATCCAAAAAAATTGAAAATAAAAAAATACTTCTAAGGCCTAGATCTAAGCAACTCACCAAAATGAACGGCCTATGTTAATTGGACTAAACAAATACTTTCTAGGTTGCGTTTTCAAAATTTTCTTTTTTGTGATTGTTCATTAGAATGAAAAGAGTGTATATTTCAAAATTTGGATAAAAAAAATGGCCATAACATGGTTTTTGAAGGTTGTTGCATCATATTACCATACAACTATTGCATGAAATCATTCCCCTATATATATAGTCGTGGTGGACAAGGTCACACGAGGG